CTCCTCCTCCTCATTCTATTATATTCTGTTCTGTTCCTTTGCATTCTATTCCACTCCACTCCATTCCATATATTCTATTCTATTCTATTCTATTCTATTCTATTCTATTCTATTCTTTCCTATTCCTATTCCTATTCCTATTTCTATTCCTACTCTCCTCTCCTTCCTCCTCCTCCTCATTCTATTCTATTCTGTTCTGTTCCTTTGCATTCTATTCCATTCCATTCCACTCCACTCCACTCCATTCCATATATTCTATTCTATTCTATTCCTTATTTTGCTCCATTCTATTCTATTCTATTCCTTTGAAAAAAAAATTCGAAGATGGATTTTGCGCATTTCTTCTTCAAATGGCTTCCATCACTTGGAAACCTGACAACAAGCTGAACTTAAGCCATGTTTAAGGCTAACCTCAGCTTTCCATAAATGTGACCTATGTGTCCTGGTGAACCAGTTCCTAAGAAAGTTGAACCTCTTCTCCTTAAGAATCAACTCCATAACTGGTGTCCGTGTTGAGATGGATACGGTCCATTCATCCCTCTGCAATGACCTGGTTTAGGGGATTCTGGTGAATTATTACCAGCCAGGGAAGTAAGACCCACTTGCAGGTGAACTGACTGGTTAAGGGTTTGTGCACGGGGGGAAAGTCCGAAGGCTTGGTGGTCTCCAAGCGGGCTCCTTACCTGGTGATGATGGCGAGGTGGGGAGGGCTCATGCAGGCCCCCATAAACAGCACCACGTTCTCGTGCCGCGTCTGCCTGTAAGCCATGACTTCCCGCTTGAAGGCCTTCAGCTGGTCCTCGTTGTCCCGCTCGATGTCGATGAGGCGGAGGGCCACCTCACCGTGCCAACGGCCGTGGAACACCTGCCCGAAGCGGCCCTTGCCGATCAGCTCGCCGATCTCCAGCTGCTCAAAGGGGATGTCCCACTCCTGCAGGAAGATGCTGGTCTGGCTGGCTTTCCGGGGGAAATTACGAGCCGAGAGGAGGGAGAGGTTCATCTCCTCAAAGTCGTCCTCGGATTCCTCATCGTTTCCCTGTTCGGTCTGGGGAAAGGAGAAGAGAGGGCTTGATGTGTGCAACACACCTGTAGGAGGTGAACAGGCTGGGCCTGAGGGAGGGGTCAAGGACGTCATCAGTCTCGAGTCCCTTTGCACCCACAGGAGATTTCTTTGACAAATAACGAGCCCGTTTTCACAAAAAAACAGGCTGTTTTTTGCTCGTTTTTGCCCCAGGAGCACCCTGCAACCCCCACCCCCCAAGGCTATTCAGGTATATTTTAAAAACAAAATGGGCCCATTTCTGCAAAAAGCAGGCAGTTTTGGGGAGGTTTGCAGAGTGCAAAAACGTTCCCCCCCCTTTCAGAACACTTTTTAGTTAGAGTGGTTGATGAGAATTAGATTGATCAAGTGCTATGCCAGCAGAAACAAAGTCTTAGGTGCTGCAGATTGTCAGCGCTTTCCTTCTCCAGCACATAGATAAATACACCTGGAAACATCTAGCTACCTACCTACTCTCTCTCTCTCTCTCTCTCTCTACCTACTGTATTTCTCTCTCTCTCTCCCTCTACCTACCTACCTACCTACTCTCTCTCTCTCTCTCTCTCTCTACCTACTGTATTTCTCTCTCT